CTATAGAGATAGGATGCAAATCAACACTCACCCAGGCTATAACTCTTATATGCTAGTTAACTTCTGGAACAGCAGGGAAACAAGGCCTAGGGTCATATCCCATATACAAAAAGGTCTAAGGCTATAAGTACAGCAATAAAGACCTACCTAATCAAGGGATATCCTATGGATCAAGGCTGGCAATATTACTATTATAAATGTCTACAGGCCACCAAGGGAACCTATAAACCATACAACAAACATCCTCCTAAACTATTAACCGCCAGAGAGAGCCCTTATTGCTGGGGATCTTAATGCCCGCCACTCTTCTTAGGAACCTAGCTCCTAAAGCTGGAATCAAGGAGATAATATTGCAGAATAGGCTGAAGGCTGTAATCTTAACTTTATCAGGGAAGTTAGGGCCTCTACCTATACTCACAGGCATACACTTAACCTTACCTTCTCAAATATCCCCTTTGCAGAGGCCTATATCAGCCCGCACCTACATCCAGGGGCTGACCACCAGGCTATTACAACTATCATCCCACTAGGCAACACCTAGGAGCAGAGGCGACAGACTAGTCACCTCTTAGTACCAGACTTAGCCCTACCTTAACTTGCTGACTTAGTAAAGATAGGGCTCCCAGCCCTACCCACCTTAGGGGATATACCTGCTCCAGCAGAAATAGACACCCTAGCTATCCAACTAGTCAGCCTCCTCTCTATAGCGACTTAGGCTATAGGGAAGAGACGGACTAACCAGGGTAGGGGAGCTCCCTGGTGGACAGAGGAGTGTTCAGAGGCTCACTGAGCAGCTATTAAGGCTGGGCAACGACAAGCCTAGGATCCTAGGCTGGTACTACCACCGCCTATCCTCGAGGAGCAGAAGGCCTTTCTAACTACAGTTAGGAAGGCTAAGCAAGCCTATTGGACTACAAAGATTAATGAGGCTGGGTCTAACCAGGAACTATATAAAATCCTAAGCTGGCGTAAGTCTAGCCTAGCTATAAAGGCCCCGCCTCTTATAGTAGATAGACAGGCAATTAACAACCCCTACGATAAAGCCCAGGCTTTACAGAAGGCCCTATTAGAGAGATTTGATGCTACAGACGACCTACCTGGAAACCCTTTCACTGTTCCTATAGTAATAAGGCGTCTAATACCCTGGCAGCAAACAGTCAGCATAGAAGAAGTACGCCAGGCTACTCTCACAAAGGCTACAACCCCTGGGATTAATAGGATTACTACAAAGTTACTACAATCTATTTGGGGCCTTATAGCTACACCTATACAGCAGCTCTTTCAGGCCTGCGTTCAGACAGGTTACTTCCTAAGAACCTTCCGCAAAGCAGAGGTTGTTATGATCCAGAAGCCAGGGAAAACAGACTTCTCTAAGACTGGGTCCTAGCGCCTGATATCCCTGCTATCCTGCTTAGGCAAAGGCTTAGAGCGGCTGATAGCAAAAAGGATGGCCTACCTTACTATCCTAGAAGGGGTTGCCAGCCTACAGCAGATTGGAGCCCTACCAGGGAGGGCAGCAGTCGACCTAACAACCTGTCTTACCTATAAGATCGAGAAGGCTCTGGATCTAGGGCTTACGGCAACACTAGCCATAATAGACGTCAAAGGGGCGTTTGATTCTGTCCTACAAAATCAACTTATTATTAGGCTACGACAGCAGGGCTGGCCTAGCAGTCTGATCAAGCTGATATACACCTTCACCTCTAGTCGAACTGCCCAGGTTAGGCTAGAGGATATAACTACAGAGGACTTTCCTCTTACCTGCAGGCTGCCACAGGGCTCGCCACTATCCCCTATTCTTTTCCTGCTATATATAGCTGATATCCTAGCTGACGATCAGAAGCTACGGTTTGGGTACGCAGACGATATAGGCCTGCTGGCTTCTAGCCTATCCCTTGAGGGTAATGCTGCAGCCCTCAGCCAGGAGATAACTCAGATCCTCAACTGGGGCACTGATAATAAGGTTGCGTTTGACCTAGCTAAGTGTGAAGCAATCCACTTTAGCAGAAAACATAACCAGTCAAGAGACCTACCAGATATATAGGCAAAGGACCTTACTATTAAGGCCTCAACTAAGCCTATACGATAGCTAGGGGTCTGGTTTGACAGGAAACTCACCTTCTGACACCACGTTGAAAGAAAGGCAGCAGCAGCAAAAAAGGCAGTCCAGTTTCTACAGCACCTATCAAACACAAAAGGGGGGCTCCCAGCAGCTGCTGCACAGAAAGCAGTTATTGCCTGCATTCTCCCAACAGCCCTATATGGGGCTGAGACCTGGTATGCAGGCTTAAATAGACCAGCCAGGAACAGAAGCACTACTACTACTGCTAGCAGCAGTGCTGCCAACTAGGTGGCTACAGTTAGTACAGGGCAGAAGGGCCTGGTCAAGAGGACAGGGAAGGTTATAACAGCAGCAGCGAGGGCTATTCTACCTGTCTGGAAGACCACGCCAACTTGCAGCCTCCTCTGAGATGCTGGTCTGCCTACAGCAAAAGTAGCCCTTGAGGGAGTACGCCTACGCTTCGCCTCACGCCTACAGAAGGTTGACCAACAGCACCCTTTATTCCCTAGGCTCTTACAGCCAGGACGGCAGCAAACAAGGCTTCAAAGAACAGCAGCTCTCCTACCTAAGTGCCTAAGGCTGCTGCTCCTACAGCCACAGTACCTCCTAGGACCATATAACCCTACAGCTGGATAAAGTAAGGAGACTGCAGCTAAGTCGTTTCAGGCCTGGCTTAAGACTATGCCAGATAACCATATAGTTATCTACTCAGACGGCTTAAAAGCCCCTGAAGGGGCTGCAGGGTTCGGCTTTATTATCTATCGCAGTAATAGACGGATAGCCTAAGGGTGTGGCCGTCTCAGCATTGCAGAAGTATTTGATAGCGAGGCGGAGGGGATGAGGGCAGGGCTCCAAAGGGCCCTCCTTACATCCTAAGGCCAGCCTATACACATCTGTATCGATAACACTAGCGTTATCCAGGGGATTCAAAGTAGAGCCCCAGACTCCTCTCAAGCTGCCTTCTTAGAGATTCAGGCAGCAGCCAGGATATATACTATATAAATCCACTGGTCCCCAGGGCACCAAGGGATAAAAGGAAACGAAGAAGCTGACAGCCTAGCCAAGGAGGGCATAACGCTGCCGATCCCTAGAGGCTTAATGCCAACCCTATCAGGGATTAAGCGGCTTGCTGAAGAACGCAAACAGCACCAGCATAGGAAATAGTGGAAGCAAGAGGCATCCCCCCGTTATACCCAGCTAGGGCTGAAGGCCACCCTTAGCTGCCCTCCTGAATTAGCTCTACCAAGAGCTATCCTTCATCATCTCATAGCAGCTCGATCGGGCCATAGGGACTTTGAACAATATCATCAACGCTTCAACCACACAGAAGCACTACTTACCTGCTCCTGCGGGGAGGCTAAGGAGGTGGACCACCTGGTCTACTGCCGAAAGACATTAGTGAGGAGGCAACGGTGGCCTACCCTCCACCCTTATAGTCGGCGGGAGCCTCTAGGATCTGTGGGCTCTCTAGAGCGCTACTTTAAGGGGCTAATCATCGACTCAGAAGGCTTTCAGGCCTTCCTCAGCGTGATAGATTTCTTTCAGAAGATCTGCCCGCGGTACTAAAATATAGGCTGCAGCCTACTCCCTAAGCAACCAGGAAAAGAAAAAAAAAAAAAAAAAAAAAAAACGTTATAACAGAACTAGGGCACTAGTGGGAACTAGGGAAGGATGGAACACATAGTAGCCTGCAGGCAATACTTGGAGGACGTTAGGAAAGCGGCATGTGCTTAGAGTATATAGCTAGAACCTACAGCCCTCCACGCCATATACCCTTCGGGAGGTCTGCTGCGAGGGCTTTTGCGTCCTTGCCGCCACAGCGTTAAATATAAAACAAACAAACAAACAAACAAACACGCGAAAAACCTAACATTCAAAAGAATCTACCTACCTCCAGGCAAAGGTCTAACCCCGCCGTACACGGGCAAGGTTTTCCGCTTAATAAGAGAGGCAATGACTAGAAGAGATAAGAGTATCTTAGAAGTGTTTGCAGATAAGTTTGAGGCTATGTGGGAAACAACACCTGCGTATTTGCTGTGGAGCGAGGATGCATGTCTCCAGGCCCTAATCCCACTAACTTTTGATAAACTGGGCCTCCAAATGCCCGAACAACTTCGAGGGGATATTTATAGTGTGATGTAGAGAAAACAGAGTTCCTGATTGATGCCAAAGTTGTTGCTGGTCACAGAATCAAACTCTGACCTTTCGCACACGAAGCATCAGACAGCAAGCGCAATGTCCATCCTAAGGGATGCAAGTTCAATAGATAATGCCTTCTTAAGCTTGCAGCTTCTGTTCAGTGTTTGCCAGTATACCAAAGTACAGCTAGTACTGCTAGATAGAATGTGATTTCACAATCAAATGTTCACCGTTATAGTCCTATGTTTTGTGAACTCTTGTGAATAGTTATGACTTATTGTTGTGATTTTGGACTCCAGCATAGTCTCACATCAAGACTTTCATTATCAATATGTCTCCTGCGCCAAAACGCAACTAATTTTCTATCCGCCAGACACGTATCGCTGAAAGAATAAAGAGGGATCGTATTTGATAGCCACCTTCTTCAGAAACTCAACGTTCTCTTCCCCATAGGATCTAAGAACATCCTGCTCAGGGTTCGCATAGTTCATATATAAATAAGTTGAGTGAGCGTCTAACGAGGCTGAGTACGTCCTCAACTCCTCCATCGACTTAGCCATCTCAGCTCTGGCTACGCCGTGGAACAAAGCGTCTTCGTCAGCAAGTGTTCCTCTTGCCTCAAACAAAATAGAGTCTGAGGGGAGGTTCTGGTCGAATCCAAGAATGTTGTTTCCGGGTGTAACGGAATGCAAGAGCTTAGGCAATGGCCGGAATACGAATTTTACCGATACCGGGACGCCGGCTTCGGAAAGTCTCTGCGTCAGTTGCGTAAAGACTTCGGAAGCCTTCTTCAAAATTTCTATGGTCGGCTGCTGTAGTAGGAGCCGCCGGTATCGGCAATGCTTGCGGCTATTTGACTGAGCGATCTCCGTGCTCGCATATCCCTCGTAAGGTTAAGCCGGTTGAAAGCCTCGAAAGTAGCCGAGTGCTCGTTTCCGTCCGTGGCTACTGCCATTGACATAATGGAAAGGCTACCGGCATCAGACCGATAGACGATAAATTCGTGATCAGGACTACCATGTTCAATAGAACTGGCATACTTGACGAACTGGTCATTGACGGCATCGAGGTCAGACCATGAGGTGAAAAGCAGACCGCCATAAGCACCACCTGGAGGAACGGTGAATGTTCGCATGTCGAAGCGTGTGACGATGCCGAGATTATTGCCGCCTCCCTTGAGAGCTTTAAATAGGTCCGCGTTCTCAGTGTTGCTGGCGGTAACGATGGAGCCGTCGCCGAGGACGACTTCATACCCGATGACGTTGTCACATGACAGACCCCATAGCTGAGTATGATACGACGCACCGCCAGACACCAACAGTCCGCCTGCCCCAACGTGACCGGAGCGCCCGCCGGTCACTCCGAGGTTGAACGGCTCCAAAGTGCTGATAACATTACCCCATCTTGCTGCAGGTTGTATTTTAGCCACATGCTATCGAAAAGTTGGGCATCTTGTCAGAACTTCGGAAAGAGGCATCGAATGTATGATAAACTTACCTTGGTCAACTTGCTCGACCCTGTCCACGTTGCGGTAGTATTTCCCCCAATGCCCCCAAGAATAGTTGTCGAGTTCAAAAAGGTAAGATCTATCGTGACGCCACGACGAGCTGCATTGTTGTCGAAGTCAGAGTGACCACCGGAGCGTACGGCAATGTCCCAGTTGCCTGCGGAACTGACCGCACCCAAGGCTTTGACAGAGCGTGACACATCCTCGGTAGAAAGAGGTTGAACGATACAGTAAGGCTGCAGTCGTCTGTTTTCTGAAGAATAGTATGAAGATGTGCTTTCACGGTAACCTAAATCTGCAGGGAAGACTAGCATGTCACCGAGGCCTGCAGCGATGAGGGCATCACACTAGGTGCAGATAAGTAAGCCGCAGGTTCGATACAATCCAGACGACAGCTTTGTCCATGGCAACTGGCAGAGGACCTACCCCTTTGAAGCCTGTAGGCGACAAACGTTGTTGAGCCGCTATCAAGGTAGACAGGCTGATGGGCGCAAAAGCGCGGAGACAATTCGCGAATTTCATGATAAAGGTCGTTTACAAACACAATCGTACCTTGATAATATTTCGATGGATTGGAAGGTCAAGTAGATGAGCATTCAAAGACTCGCTCGCAGCCTTCAATCTGCGAATCAGAAGTCTGGTCAGATCAACCCGTGAGCGATGACGGCGAAGACTCGTTTTAGTGACATCGCCCGAACCATTCAATGCTAGCACGGAGATCTGCACGAAATAGGCACGCAGATCCTCTTGTGCCAACCAGAGACCCATTTCAGTCCACCAAATACACGTATCGGTCGCTTCTGTTCTTATGTTCTACTATCGCCGGTGCATGTGCCGATGCGGCACAGCACTAAAGCATCCTTGCAGACCTGCTGGACTGCAGAAGGACAATGTCGCTTGCATGCATTCGTATGACAATACCCGCTCAGGGCAACGGCCCAGCCGGCAAGGGCTGGCATACCAGTCTCCTCCGCGTACGGAAAAGCGAAACCGAGTTTGTCATCAGCCGCTGGCTCGAGATTTTCCCCATGGATAGGAAAATAATTTCATAATACGGGCAGCGGTGTGCAGAAAGCTGTACGGATGATACGTGGTGCAAAGCTAAGTGGGGATTGAGGACTGGCTAGACCCGCATCCATTTTGCTCAATCTGAGATGAAATAATACCAATCTATAAAGACAGTTGCAAATGCTCTTCATCCAATACAGAATTTAGATCAATGTGAAAAGCAAACATCCGATGTTTTAGACAACAAGGAGTCCTTCAGTAACAGCGTGTATGGAGACCTTCCCATACCCTCAAGTCTCTTAAACATCCATGTGTCCAAGCTTGTCTCCGAATACCTCTTTCTGCTTGGCTTCGTTTGTAATGACGTCGATAAACTCTGCCGCCGCGTCCTCCGCAAAGAATATGCCCTCGCTGGCGATGCATCGCGAGATGAAGCTCTGTGCGCGTGGGAACATGTCATTCTCATACTCTGCCACGGCTGTCTCAATGCCAGAGCAATCCTTGAGCTGACCGTCAATGCCTCCTCCGCAATGCTTTTTGATGCTGTTCATGAGCTTGAGTGCATCGAACATCGCCATGTTGACACCCTCGCCCACGAACGGAGTCGAAACGTGGGCAGCGTCGCCGATGAGGGTAACGCCTGGGACCCGAACCCAGTTCATTGAGGAGACGGGCATGCGGTAGAGTGGCCACGGTCGAAAGGGGCCTTCCGCATCGGATAGGAACTGCTTCAACTCAGACCCGAAATCGCCGAAGAACTCAGGACTGTTCAAAAGCTTCTCTCGGCTTCCCTCTGTGTCGGCCAATTGAAGAGTATTCCGAGTAACATCTTCCGCAGCCTTCATTCCCAGGTACAAGCGGTATGACTTGTCGGACACCTGCTGAACACCGAGTGATCGACCATGACCAACGGCCATCATGTTTCCAGGCCCGGACGTTTCTACTGCCGCTGCATAGCTAGGGTTCTTGTGACTGATACGGCCCTCGATGAACATCTTGCCAGAGTACTCCGGTTTGGTGGAAGTTAACTGTAGGCAACGATCAGTAAACTAGAATTCGACAGTAACCGAGGATTGTCTTACCACTGCACGAACTTTGCTCCAAGCACCATCCGCTCCAACGATCAGTTGAAACCCAGACGCCGTTGAGCCATTAACGAAGCGGATCAACTAACCATGAGTACCCATCTCAATTCCCTGAACCGCATGATTCCAGTGCACCTTGTGGGAAGGAATAGAGTCGAGAAGCATTTGTCGCAGTTGATAACGGTCGATTTCGGGAGCATCTCGCCCTTCTCCGAAGTCCTGCTTGAGGGTGCAGGTCGTGTTCTGGATGACGAATCTGGTGGCGTCGAAGCGAGCGAGCTTCTTGAATTCTTCGAAGAGCCCGGCGTCCTTTAGAGCTTGCTGACCAGAAGTTGGATGAAGGTCTAGGGTGCCGCCTTGGTACATGAGCGTCGGGGTAAAATTCGCATCTCGCTCGTAAACAACATAGCCGATATCATTCTGCTCAAGCAGACGCGCAAGGACAAGTCCACAGGGTCCCCCGTCAATTATGGCGATAGGCAAGGAGTATCTGTCTGCTGCGGTGCGTGCCATGTTGGATTGATGTCGGTAAAGGTAGGCCAGGAAGATAACAGGTGACGATACTCTAGTAGTTCTCAGATGGGAAGCTTGTAAGCAACAGGAAATTGATGTGTTAGAGTCTGACTATGATATGAGAGTAGACCTTCGGATTTGTCTTATCTCAGTGCTGTGTTGATCCGGGTGAGGGCATATTGACTTTATATAGTGCGAATCTTACATTGAAGGGAGACATCTGCAGCTGGACAGTTAACGGACAAATTCGATTTCAGAGCCCCGTCTGGTCTGCAGGTATCCATCAAAGCCATGTTCAAAATACGCAGGGCACTCAGTCCGGCCGAATCAGGAAAGGTTGGGTTACTCTGATTGGTGTACTTCGGAGCTGACTTCAACGACGTCAGCTTATCTATGTCGGGGAAAGGCTCTGGATCTCCGAAATTATGGACAGTGATTGGCTGCTCTCGGAAGGTCCGGCTGCACACTCCGAAGTCCACCAGTCATAGGTCAATTTGGCGGCCCCCACCTCACCCTGGACATATCTTCTGCCAACTTCACCAACCGTCTTCCTGCTCTCTCGTCACTCTTAGTCTATTCCACACAAGAGCTCCTTCTTCAACAAAACCTGCTACTCATATTGAAAGTTTCTCAACATGGAGAAAATCTCTCTAAACCCGTCGGCGGGCAGCGCGGCGCGCTTCGCGGTAGGTGTCCTAGGATTAATCTGTCATGCAGACCACTTACTCGCGCCTGAAATCAGTGCGATTATTGTCGACAGAAGAAGTTCAGGTAAATTGACTTTGTTTGTGTCGAAGGTTCTAATGGATCTTCATGACATGAGCTGATGATGTTGTCAGATGCTCCAAGGAACTTCCCAAATGTAGTGCTTGCAAACCTTGGCCAAGTGCTTGTACTTACTCCCGAGACAAGGAGAGGACACTATCGACGAAAGACCAAACGGCACTCCAGTAAGAAATGTCTTCGGTCGGGTCTTGAATATTCAAAGAAAACTGACGCCGAGACCTGAAATAGCCCTAAAACCTCCGGCCCGGCTGAAACAAGCAGTTAAATCGGTGGCCTGGAACAGCGACTCCAAAATATCGAACGATCGATTTTGAACTTGACGAAGTCAGTTGAACAGGTTCTATCTGCCGTACGTCCGAAAGAGTCTACCAATACAGTTTCACCCTCCATCTCCGAATCGGCAACAATGACTGGCGAGGTGGATCAAGTCACCCCCAGCTTAAACGAGGCGCAAGTTCCAAACTTGTTCCTTGGGCAGTCTCACTCATTTGCATTTCTGAAGGAGACGCCAATACATATAGATGCTGTTCCTAAGTCTCCATCAACTCTTGCCCATCGCAATGCATACTCTGAGCTTCGATATCTTTCCAACACTCTTACAACAGCCACTGTAAGCCCGGACACCACGGCCATGAAAGGGTTCCACGTCCCTCCAAAATCAGTTGGGTACCAACTAATTGGCCGTGAGTAGTAACCTATCGCGACTCACACTGATTTACTGACTTTCTTCAAGAATTCCCGAGCATTCCCCTCTCGGGGAGCCCTTCTTCTGCAGCCCATCTGATGACTTGCTGAGATAGATCATCTTCGACCCAGCCAACGTAAAACAAAAGGCTTGGGTCGTGTACGTCAACTACATGATGCTCGCCATGGTGTCTGCCAATGAGAGTGGGGAGAGCGTTGAGGCAAGACAGTTCCGGCGAAACATGCGACTGGCTCTTAACGACAGCACCATCTTCCTCGAGCCGACTCTAGCAAATGTACAAGCCTTAGCCCTGCTTGCCCTTCATGGCGAAGACTATGCCTCTCCTAATCTGTCGTGGATGTTGGTAGGCCACGCCTGCCGACAGGCTGAAGCCTTGGGACTGCATGCGTCAACTGATCAGGACTTCGAATTGCGACAACGGAGTTTATGCTTGTTTTGGCTCCTTTTTGTCGTAGACAAGTCATGCTCGCTTGCGTTCGGGCGGTCGTCCTTCTTGCCCATGTCTCTGTGCCGAGACGTGCCACTTCCGGATTTCAACTTCATGCTCAAATTTCAACCGCACAATTCTTCTTCCTTCCGAAAATCCCGGGAATCTACATTGATCTCCTCATTTGGGGCGCATCTCCTGACTTCAGGGATGGAAGTTGCAAAGATGATGGAGTACGTATTGGATCTCTCGACACCAGGGAAAAGCCTGCTTCCCAAGGAAACGGTTAGTAGAGACCTTGTTGTTGTTGTTGTTGTTCTATTTAACGCCGTGGCGGCAAAGGCGCAGCCGCCCTTGCGGCCGACCTCCCGAGGGGTATATGGCGTGGAGGGCCACAGGCTCAAGCTATATACTCTACAGTACACGCCTCTTCCAAACGTCCTCCAAATCTTGCCTATAGGCTGCTACGTGTTCTATCCGTCCCTAGTTCCCGCTGGTTCCCTAGTTCCATTATACTCGTCAGTTCCTCTACGAGGAGGGGGTTCGTTACTAAGGCCTAGGTTCAGGCCTAGGCCCTAGTACCGCGGGCAGATCTTCTGGAAGAAGTCTGTCACGCAGAGAAAGGCCCAGAAGCCTTCATGATCAGTGGTTAGCCCCTTGTAGTACCGATCAAGAGATCCTATTGGTCCTATAGGCTCCTGTGGACTAGAAGGGTGGAGGGTGGGCCACTGAAGCCTCCTCACTAAGGTCTTTCGGCAGTAGACTAGGTGGTCTACCTCCTTTGCCTCCCCACAGGAGCAGGTAAGCAGTGCTTCTGTATGGTTAAAGCGTTGATGGTATTGTTCGAAGTCTCCATGGCCTGACCGGGCTGCTAGGAGATGATGGAGTATAGCCCGTGGTAGGGCTAGTTCAGGAGGGCAGGCGAGGGAAGCCTTAAGCCCTAGTTGGGTGTAGCGGGGTGTTGCCTCTTGCTTCCACCATTTTCTATACTGGCGGCATATGCGTTCTCTAGCTAGCCGTTTGATCCCTGACAGGGTGGCTAGTTGGCCCCTAGGGGCTGGCAGGGTTGTGCCCTCCTTGGCTAGGCTGTCTGCTTCCTCGTTCCCTTTGATGCCTTGGTGCCCTGGGGACCAATGGGTTCGTATGTCATACATCCTAGCTGCCTCTTGGATCTCAAGGAAGGCAGCTTGTGAGGAGTCTGGGACCCTGCCTCGGATCCCCTGGATAACGCTGGCATTATCGATACAGATGTGTATAGGCTGGCCCTGGGAGGTAAGGAGGGCTCGTCGGAGCCCTGCCCTCGCCCCCTCAGCCTCCCCATCAAACACTTCTGCTAAGCCGAGGCGGCCGCAGCCCTGGGCTATACGCTTGTTCTTACGGTATATAACAAAGCCAAACCCTGTGGCGCCATTAGGGGCTTTAGAGCCGTCTGAGTAGATAATAGTATGCTTCTCTGGTACAGTCTTAAGCCAGGCCTGGAAGATCCTCGCTGCTATTTCCTTCGTCTTTGTGGCTATAGGGTTATAGGACCCTGGGAGGTATTGCGGCTGTAGGAGTGCTGGCCTTGGACACTTGGGTAAGAGGCCAGCTGTTCTTTGGAGCCTGGTCTGCTGCCGCCCTGGCTGCAGAAGCCTTGGGACTAAGGGATGTTGTTGGTCAACCTTCTGTAGGCGTGTAGCAAAGCGTAGTCGCGCTGCCTCAAGGGCTACCTCTGCTGTAGGTAGGCCAGCATCTCGGATGAGGGCACTGGTTGGTGTGGTCCTCCAGACAGGTAGGATAGCCCTTGCTGCTGCTGTGATAACTTTTCCAACTCTACAGGCTAGGCCCTTCTGTCCTGTGCCAACTGTAGCTATCTGTAGAGTAGTGCTACTGCTAGTATTGGTGCTGCTGTTCAGGGCTGGTCTGGTCAGGCCTGCATACCAGGTCTCCGCTCCATATAGGGCTATTGGGAGGGCGCAAGCAAGAACTGCTTTTCGAACTGCAACTGCTGGGAGCCCCCCTTTAGTGTTTGTTAGGTGCCGTAGGAAATAGGCTACCTTCTTTGCTGCTGCTACCTTTATTGCTACATGGTGTTGGAAGGTGAGTCTCCTATCAAACCAGACCCCTAGCCATCTTATAGGCTTAGTTGAGGCCTTAATAGTTAGGCCTCTCGCTTGGATATCTGGTAGGTCTGTTGTCTGTTTATGTTTTCTGCTGAAGTGGATTGCCTCACACTTAGCTGGGTCAAAGGCGACTTTATTTTCCGTTCCCCAGCTGAGGATACTAGTGATCTCCTGGCCTAGGGCTGTAGCATTCCCTTCTAGCGAGGGGCTAGTAGCTACTAAGCCTATATCGTCTGCATAGCCAAACCGTAGCTTCTGATCGTCAGCTAGGATATCAGCTATATAGAGCAGGAAGAGGATAGGTGACAGCGGAGAGCCTTGCGGTAGTCCACAGGAAAGAGGGAAGTCCTCAGTAGTAGTATCCTCTAGCCTGACGCAGGCTGTTCGGCTGGAGGTGAAGGTGTAGACCAGTCTGATCAGGCTGCTAGGCCAGCCCTGCTGTCGTAGCCTGACAATAAGTCGGTTTCGTAAGACGGAATCAAACGCCCCCTTGACGTCCATTGTTGCTAGCGTCGCAGTAAGCCCTGTATCTAGAGCCCTCTCAATCTCATGGGTTAGACAGGTTGTGAGGTCAACTGCAGCCCTCCCTGGTAGGGCTCCAACCTGCTGTGGGCTGGCAGCCCCTTCTAGGATAGTAAGGTAGGCCATCCTTTTTGCTATCAGCCGCTCTAAGCCTTTGCCTAAGCAGGATAACAGGGATATCGGGCGCCAAGACCCAGTCTTAGAGAAGTCTGTTTTCCCCGGCTTCTGGATCATAACAACCTCTGCTTTGCGGAAGGGTCTAGGGAAGTAGCCTACCTGTACGCAGGCCTGGAAGAGCTGCTGTATAGGCCTAGCTACTAAACCCCAGGTGCATTGTAGTAACTTTGTAGTAATCCTATCAGTCCCAGGGGTTGTAGTCTCTGTTAGAGTAGCCTGGCGTACTTCCTCCATACTAACTGTATCCTGCCAGGGTATAAGACGCCTTGCGACTACTGGA